TATTAGATGAAAGTAAAAGTGCATTTGCATTTTCCATTTACTACAGCAAATAGTAAAAACAAACGTAAAACTTAAACAAACTGCACCACTAGAGTCGTAGTAAATTGTTGGACATTCCTAATCTCGATCGATCATCAATCGACGTGAAACTTCTCGGAACACAGAAAAAACTTTGACTGAAAACGAACAGTTTCATGTCAACTCGTAATAAAATGGGTATTTCGGACAATCACGCTTTAAAATATATTAATAGTATCTCATATCAACTACAACATCTTAAATTTGAAAATTAAAAGGCGTACAGTGTGTTTTGCGTATCGCTACATCAATCTCACCCAATTAAGTTTCTGAATTAAAAATTTTAATGTTTCCTCGTTGCAGTACCGCCACTTGTTACGAAACACTCGCATGCGGCATATTCCGATTTTTCTTCTTTTTATTTTTTGACAACCATGTCGTCCGAGTTTAATCAGCGCGACCAACACGCAAATTTAAGCGCTGCTTTAACACCGTATTAATTTTACGAGTCGCGATATCCAGATAAAATGGTGTCAAAATGCCTTTCGTTATATTTGACGTCTCAATTATCGCGATTTGACGATTTAGAGCGCAAGCATCGATGTATTCGCTGGAAAACGCCTTAGGAATTGTTCCATGCATGTTCGGTGACCGTGGCAAAATCATACATAATTAATTATCGTATTAATATATTGGAACGGCTGTAGCTGATAATACCGAAGGGTCCTCTACCGTGACGCACGCTGTCTGCAGCGCTTTCGTCGGAAGCTTTTTAAGAAAATTCACCTTCAAACGATTAATATTCACAACTTAAGTTCAACAACCCTCAATCGAACGCGTTAAACCGATGAAAAAAACATCACATTGGAATTCGTGTAACTATGTCGCCAATTGATTCTTTTTACCATTACCTAGCTTAATAATTCACGGAATATCGACAGTTCGTCTTGAAGGAAATTTGTCGCTGATTTCGACTTCTAGTCGCAATTAATGCCTAATTGATTGTCGACAGCATCGTATTATTCACACACGTCTGATAGATGTTGTAACAGAAAAAAATCTAAGGAAGTTTCTTAGCAGGAGTCTTTCATGCTATCTACCTAACAACCTAACATAGATTAACAAGTCTGTGCAGAGGTTAACTACGGTCAACAGTCACTAACGCGTGTAAAATAGCGAGCACTACATTAATGCCTTTGCAGTGTTACAAACTCTAATAAAAACGTTACACACTCAAGATAGAGCAATTCATAAAAATATATCTAAATGAGGTGACGATTGACAATTCCGTCACTAGTCTCTTTATTCAAATGTCTCCTGATAAAAATGCACGATCATTCTTTTCTCCGACTACCTACATAGCTCTTTTTCAGAATAATAATAATATTTAATAAATAAAAACGGTACTATTTTATCACTAGATATTTAGACCCATTATGCCAAAAATCGCCATTCATTCCGCCCTGTTCGCAGGCAATTCCGCCAAAATGCGATAAAACATGCGACACATAAACTGAGTTAGTTCTTCGAATAAACGAAATTTGGCATGATCAAAAAACCCACGAAAAAATCATTCTCGACACGACTCTTTTTCGTGGTTGTTATTTATTGTTGCGAAATTCTGCCGATTTTAGATTCGATAAGACCAACGCTCGGGAGCCTAGACGGGTCAGACTTAATTTTTTCACTAGTGGCGTTGAACTCTTAAAGAATATAGATTCGAGAACGAGGAAATTGCATGACGACACATTCAAAAATCGTTAAAACCGGAAGAAACCTACATGGCTGATGATATATGGCGGTGTTCTGGCCCCGACATAAAACTTATTTGCGACCATTATATCCCCGCTAAAGTTGATCTGGTATTATTGTAAGTCTGAGCCGATTTGCAACATGCAATAATTTTACCAACAGCTTGAAACATAAGTCAGCTACAAATAGACCGACGAGGCTCAATGTTTGCCAAAGTTATACGCTTTGAGCTTTTGCGGCGATTTTTCTTCGGTGGTTTACACGCCGGTCGCTGAATTGGAGCCATTTGTTTTGCAGTACGAGAGAATTAATTAAAGTTACTAAAGGCAGAGATTACTGTCATTTATTTAAACTTTTCAAGTCAATTAATTTTTAAAACCCGTTACTCTTTTTAAGTAAAGCTTTAAGGTAATTTTTAATATAGGTAATGGAAAAAGACATATCTGCAATTATATTTTTTTGTATATTTCAACCAGCACTTTAAACAGCACAAGCGTAAAATATAACCGACAATCATGCAAACTTTATACCGATATAAATCAAATAACTACACTTACTGTATCGAAGGATTATAAAACAAAAGAACACGGTGGCCGCTGAGTGAATAAATTAAGCAAAACATTAGCTAAAAGTCGCAACTTTATTAACAAGGGCTATATTATACAAACAAATTAAGAAAACAAATAACATGTAGATACAATCCTCAAACATCTCGACTGAAATCTAAATTTTGAGAAATTATTGAAAACTATGATTAAGAACTAAATTAATTCGAATTGGATTGTTATTTACACTACACACCTCAAAGTCAGATTTTAGTCAAGAACTAAAATTTAATTGCAATTAAATGTTTTGTAAACTGGCCATTAATGCAATTGTTGAAAAGCGATTTTTTCAGGGAATGTTTTAAGTTGCATAAAAAATATTTCTTAATAATCATTTAATACAAGCTGAATTAATTTGCTTTAAAACTGTTAATTGTTGAGGCTTAAAGTTTGTAGTCAAGCAGACCAGCACATACATATCGAACATCGTATCGCGTGCAATTGTGTGCCTATTTTATTTTGTATGGATTCCAAAGCATTGTGTTTCTTTGCAGAAAGCATACGTTATGGCAACGGGGCGATCGAATACAATCGTTTCGTCATTAAAGCAGTTGAAGTATTTGTTGTCTTCAACCGCTTTTAATTCATAACTAGGCACTCAAAAACAAATTGCCTTTATTCACATCCCCTTGGAACCGACCAACCACTTGACGCAATGTAAACTCAAAAACTCCTCAACGACTTCCACGACAAATTCTAGCACCGGAAACGCTGGACCATTAGAACTTTCACTTTCACGTAAAAATAGAACACAAAGTAGCCAAGACCTAAATTACGAACTGTAAATTTAGAGCAAGAGGAGGATGGATCTCGGTTAACGACACGTTATTACGTGCCCCCAGGTGCTTACGTGCCGAATCGGCGCAGAAATAGCATCACGTTAACGGAAAAAACGCATAGAAATATGTGGACATAATAGACGGTGGCCGTACGAGTTGCATGAGCTCGAGGAGGAACATATCCGTTTTCACGATAATTAACGAGCAGGAAGAGAGAACGACCGGCAGTAGGACTGAAACAACGCCGCCGGCACGAATCGGAAATGCATAAATAGTAAGTGACGCCTGGGACGCCACCCTGGCAAGTGGCCAGCCTCGAGATGGCAGACACAATAAGAGGGAATTAGTCAAATCTATCTTGCGCCACTAGCATCTCTTTCAACACCAAAATGTGAATGAATTGTCAGGTACAAATTTAGCCCAATAGACCACCTTCTAGAACACATACTTTACATGTACAACGGCAATGGGCTCGTTGCACATATTTTTTTATTGCATATTCTGAATCTTTATTAAAAAATAATTAACCCATCTTTATGTTTTTTTTTAATCTTAATTTTAGTACAAAAAAAAAAATATCAAAAACTCGTAAAATGACATAAATTCAAAACCCGCAGATTTGCGCTCATTGGCTTTTGAATGCCGATAATGCAGATTACAGATCTGTTTTAAGGTTATATTTTGGTGTTTGTTAATTTTAATATCTGGGTTCTGTGTATACACTAATAATTATGATGCAAAAAATGAGTACATTTAAACGTTGTGATTAAACATCCGCCATATTATTCCACTTGCCACTGTCAGTTTACCTTATTAACCTTATTACCACCTTATTAACATAACGAAAATTATCTTCAAAATACATACCAGGTGAATCAAAAGTATGGAACCAAACGTTTTTTCCTTAAACTATTCATTTTTTGAAAAAACTAATTGATGAGTGATAAAGTACTATAAAAATGTGATGATTAAACAAGAATAAAATTTTTCGAAATTTCCTTTTGTTTTTGAGTTCTACAAAAAAAATATTTTTTTAAATGGCAACTCACTATAAAAACATTTTTCTCATAAAAGCTATACTCTAAGGATTACAACTATCTGCTTTATATTTAATTTTTTCAAAATTTTTTTTCACATAAATTGCAGTTTTGACAAAAAAATCGCATAACTCAAAAACAAAACAAAATTTCGTTCTGAAAATACGATCACATTTTTTATATTACTTTAATTTATATTAATTATTATTTTCTGGAGGCAAATGATTAAAAATAAAACCGCTTGGTTCCATACTTTATATTCACCCTGTATATATTTCGATAACTAGTTTTGTTTTAAGTACAAGTATTGATACCAATACCATTTCGCAAACACAAAGTTATTTTGGAATTATTTTGAAACCATTTACTGTTAGAAATTTGAAATTTCAAATCATATGATCTCTTGCATTCCATGCTATACCTATTTACTTTTGAACTGTTAAATTGTTCAAATGATTTTCTTATCTATATGGACTGTTTGTCGTCAGTTCGATACTATGACAATAGAATTTGTTTCCATTAGAAATAGGTTTATTGAGGACGGTTAGATAAAGCTTTTAGATATAGAAAAATCCCCTATTTGCTAATCAATAATGACAGTCCATTATTTTAAAGAAAATCTTTGGCAATCATTGAAAATTTTAGATAGGATTCACATTGATTAAATATCATCTTATGTGGGTTACGTATTCTCGATGTCATATTAAAATAACCGTCTGAAGGTAACAACGATCGTAAAATTAAGATGAGTGCAGAATACGAAACTGCATTCGCCTTATTGATAAACTGTCTACAAAAATTATACTTACCGACTATACTAAAGAAAGAAGACGCTAATACTAAAACTAGGAAGGCCCAAGGTGGCGGATATTTCGGGTTGTATCGATATAGTGATCGTCTTCGACCTGAAATAAAAAAATACACTATATTTAAAACTTTCACAAAACAAAGCTTTGTATTGTAGGTATTTTAGACTCGAGAAAAAATCGAGAACGCAAATCTCGTTAGATAAGTAGTGCCTGGCAAAAATATCGCAAGTGTGTTTATTTATATCCAGAGACCAGACACATCAGTCTGTCCACTGTAGTCGTAGACGAAAAAAATTAAGCAAACCTAAAGGAAAAGCTCAGTGTAATTCGATAAGCAAAAATACCCACAGCCTGTATAAGTATTACAGTAATGTCGGGGTGACAGTTGTGTAATAAATGATATCTTTTTACTCGATCGCTAGCGATCTATTTTCGTGTATCATTTCCTTTACGGACTTTTTTCCGTCACCTTAACATTTCCCAGTCGCGAGAGTATTTGAAGGGTTTCTCTTCGTTGTTAATATACGACTCAAGATTGTGTTTTTGGGTCAACGAACCCCTTATAGTTGGCGTGCCCCAAATCAGATGAGAGACCCACTACTTTTTATGCATTCGCGTATCAGCCTTTAACGACCCTGTTTTCGTAGAAAAATTCCGAATATTGAATACACACCAATATAAATTTTGCTATGAACAAACTACAATTTCAAATCGCAAAAATACACCTGATGCTGGCACCCAAATCGTGATTACCAGTTTTCGAAAAGAAATTAGCTGCAGGATTCTTGCGTGATTTAAAAAACTGAAGGTCACCGACATCCCCAGCTGCTTGATTTCGTTTGCATGGCGTTTTTTTGAGTAGCATACCCATCAAGACAAAAATACGACTTTCTACTTTAAAAAAATTAATTAAAAAAAAATAATACATGACAGTACATTGTCTTAATGAAAGTGACAATGCCTTTGCATAGTTAGCAGAAAAAGCAAATTTCTCAAGTAGATACACAAACAATTATGCTTTGTGCTAAAATGTTGGAAAAACGTTTTAACAGAAAACAATAAAAGTGAATTATTGCAACAATGCAATATCCTTATTTTACGTTTCATTATTTTCGTTTGAAATCATACGAGACAAGAAAAGTGTATTACTTGAAAAAGATTGAACTGAAAGTTATGCCAAGTGTGGGCGCACATTTGAATATAAACGGCACCGGACTATTTGGTCACGCGGACTGAACATCTCACCAACAAATCTTAATTGTTTTCTGACAATAAATTTGAGCAAGTGTTTAGTTAAGTCAGGTAACATGAACAATCTGTTATTCGACTTTTGTTAAAGATCAGTGCACGATATGACCTCATCGAATAAAAATTTCAAAATTAATATTGGAAGTCCCATTGTGTCTGAAACACTCCCATCGCTTAAAAATGGTAACATTGCTTGTCTATTGTGGTAAAATCATATGTGTAAATTAGCCACAACGCCAACTAACTTAATTAAAATTACGGACAATCCTTTTCAGAATTATTCAAAAGTCAAAAACAATAAATTTATGAGATGCTAAAATGCATCATTTAGGAACAATCATAAAAACAACAATTAGACATAATTTAGGTCTGAATTAAGTAAAAGCGACTTTATCCGAAAATCTACCACTATAAAATAATTAAACAATTTTAAAATATAATGAGACAAGAACTTGTTGAGCTGCTTTGCACGGTACGCACAAATGTGTGAATCGCCAAAATTCCAGCAATATACCACCTAACAAGTTTGAATAACACAAATTAATTGCCTTTCACAATCAACTCCAGAGACATAAATTTAATTATAATAACCATCATGCGAATTCTTAAATAACAATATTCAACCCGTACAAGAATGTAACATTTAACAGCCACTTAATTTAGCGTCACAGTACAAATAAAGCGCTTTATTATTCCTTATTTAACAAATCAAAATTATTATTAAATGAAATGCAAAGAATTTCATACTACGTAGATACAATTAAAATAAGTGTGTGAATTTCACTTTCGCTAACATGACATTTTTATTACCTTAGTCATAATTGAACTGTAGACTTAAAAAAATCTAATAGATTTGTAAATTTTTGAGGTGTAATAATAAGAGGCTTAAAATATTTATATAACATTATAACAATCTTAATCACCCCACATGCATATTCATTTATAATGGTAATAGTAAATGCAGAAAAGTCTACATTCCGCATACCATACATGCATTTAAAGATTTCTGTCCTGCTTATCTCCCAAACCGTTAATTAAACATTCACACCAATTCAAAGATGCGTCAGTAAGTTGGATAAGATAAGAAACACGTCCGATGATGTTTCCCACACGGACCTATTCCTACGTCGCCGTCGATTCGATAAAGGACAATTGTCTACGTTGAAAAATTGATACAAAAGTGATTTAACAAGACATACATACTTCAAAGTGCATATTGCAATGACATAACTTAAACGGTCAGTGAACAAGAGAACCAGGTGCAGGAGAATTAAAACTATTCTCAGTCTTTCCGAAAGGAATCTAAACAATTGTGTGAATACGACGTAAACATTTATTTCACAATAAAAAATGACAACAATTATAATTACCACTCAAAGAGAATAATAAAGTGATTCCTTTTAAACTCTGCTAGTTACGCAAAGAACACATTAACACCTCACCTGACCACAAACATTAAAAAAGTGTTAGATAAGTAAATAAGTATCCCGGAAAAATCAACGTCTTCATTTTCACTACACGATTGAAAACCACAAACCAAATTAGCCTATCATAAAATATCATATAATTTTAATCGGAGCGAAGCCACGAAATTTAATAATACGTCGACATTTTCATCATCCATTTATTGATTAACTAATCTGCTAATTGAGCAAGTCTATACTACTGTCATCCGATTTCTTTCACTTGGGTATAAGCTTACCGCACGCAATGTTTATAAACAATGAAATAATAATATTGTAAACTCGAAACGCTTTGAAACCAAATACCAAACACGTAATCTAGTATGCAATAGTTTCAAGTGGTTTCGCCAATATTTGAATTGTTGAGGCTCTGCACACGTACTAGAAATTGTCCGACTTGTATCACAAGGTTTTGCGTTGTTATTAAAACTAATTAGAATAATGTACTCCTTGTGCTAAACTATCAATTACTAATGGTGGTTTTCTGATCACACGAGTACGTCGTGGCCCCAAGAATGCTGGAATGTGTGAACGGGACTCAATCAATTTCCTTTTGTTATTTGAACTCAGTAAACCTACTTATGTGGTAAAAATCAGATCCGTTTTTAAGATGATATTGTTTTATTTAAAAAAATTAAAACTTTGCATTCCAACAGGTGTTTGCTCGAACCAAATAAGCAAAGCTCGCATTTTCCCAAATTATGAATCATGAATAGTGGTTTGGAATCCCTCCAGACATTGAAAATTAAAAATAGTCTCAGATTTGATATCTACAATGGAGCGACTAAGTATAAAATTAATATTACAAAAACGGGCTTTTACGAGCGCTTTATGAAACTTTTTCCTAGCCACTTTACGGTGTCGTAAATTTTTTAAATGACTGTTCAAAGTTTTTTGCTGTAAGCACATTCAAGTGTAAGTGCTCTTCGTATTAATTATCCTGTAAAAATTGGCCGGTTGCCCGCGATCAAAACAAGCGGTAAAGAATTCAATAATTGCTTCTTATAACAAGAATTTTTTTCTAAAATTCGGCGTTAATTAAATGTAATTAGTTTTACGTTTGTACGCTCGTGTGACGGTCCACAATAGCAGTTGATTATATGTACACGACGCGTTAAGAGATAAACGAACGCTTTTTTTTCAGTTAAGCTATTAAAAAATTGTTGAGGTGCCTTTATGGTGCGTTCGTTCAACTAATTGTGGCGGTTCTTCGTAATTTATAAAAGACGCCGTCATTGAACTGTAGAGTTAAAATATTCAGGTGCAATTGACACTTAATTACAGTTATCGATGATGACGGCTGATTTATGCAAACCATGCAATAATAACTTGTCATTTCATCTGTGTTTTATCTCCAGTTGTAGTTTGAATTTGTGTGTGCTTTTAATTTTCCAACATAGCGTCAGATTTTATTTCTTTTGGAATTCCAGGTTGCTCTGATAGTCACGCTATAATAAACTTAACAAGTATGTAACCTCAGAGTTAAAAAAATTAAACAGGAGTTCTAAAACACTATTCATGCAACAGAATGTTAACATAGTCGAAAAAAATAGATTAACATTTTGCGGTTTTTTACAAGTATTTTCTACTTTCCCAGTGAAAATGAGTGAAAGCGCCCAAAACATTCTTAATCAAACCAGTAAAAAAGCCTTTTTCTTGTTTTAAAACAGTCTAGTCATTAGTGTTAGTAGTTAAACATTGATTGTTGTAAGCCTATTTAGGCATAACTACTACAATTAACAAAAAAAACTTGGAATTCAAGCACCTGGAGAAGCTGGTGCTATTTGCTAGTGCGTCCTTGCCGCCAGCACTGAACTTGGACCACCCACTACCGTGTAAAACATAACGCAATCCTCGCGGATACGGTGTGCAGAAACGTAGCAGAATTGCTTTCTCTGCTTTTGGTCATTTTGTACGACATTCTGATTAGACTATTCATCGACATAGGTACGTCATTTCTTACAAATTTTCCTCAAAACACATGACAAAACTTACCATCGATTACAAAATTCGCATGACCGAATCAGAAAGTTACCGAATAAATAAAATATAAATTATGTAGAATGTTATAATATTTATTTTTAATCGAAATTTAAAAGATTTCTCTTTTAAAAAATTAACCAGCAATTATTTAAACTTCCTGGATTAGAAAAAAACCGTGAATCTTTCTATTCATTGTACAATATTAAATTTTGATATAGAATAAATCACAATCCATTATTTCTCTTCGATTTAAAATTATCCCGATGACAAGGTACAAATTCGCTAAAGTATGAAACAAGAGTGATTATTTAGCAAAAATGACAAGCTGGTAAATTATCCTAATAACACTTCAAAGTGATTTTGCAACAAGGTTTGAAATGTAACACAATCTTTTAGTTATTAATTTGAAAGTAGACGTATCCACTGATTTATACGTAAGAACTGGTATTATTGCGATTGCCCACACTAACTCCTACCGTTTTTGAATTATTTAGTCTTGCAGACTGTATATAAGGCAATTCGGGGCATTTCGTGACTTTTATTATCAATCAAATCAGTAATAAAATAAAACGATAAAGTATATAGCCCGAAAACTTCCGGATCGATCATTTGATCGATTTCTCCTCACAATACCGTCAGAAATAACCCAGGAACCTTGCGTTTTAATTGGGAAATTACTTATTCGACATAATAATTATTATCAGTAGCATAACGTCGGCGGTGTATTGTGGTCAAGTAGGTAGTGAATCTGTAGGTAAAATAATTTAATGTCAATGCCAACTTGTACAGAATGGCGTCCGCCGTTGCTCAACGTTAATGTGTGTATGTATCTATGTGACGGCATTTCTTAAAATAAAATCTCACCATTTTCCTTTTTCGCCTCCGATCTCTAGTTGACAACATAATGGGCAATTTGTTTACACAATCGTTAGATCATCCTTTAAACATTCCAGACCATGATGGACATTAGATAAATGGCCGCCAGTTAGAAAAAAAAAACTATTTTCACTGACACGAAACTCCACTTCATTATGAAAAAAGTTTAAGAATTTCTCAAAGTCAACCATCAGGTGCAAACGCAGTGCCCTATTTAACATTATATTAAACAAATTTCAAAAATTGCAAAATAACTACCTACTATTAAGCTAATAGTCGGTTAAGAACGCATCTGTCAGACTATTTAATTTAGTTCCTCAGTATTCCATGAACAGTTCCAACGACAACTAACTCAGCAAATGTGCAGATATAATTTAAGTATTTTAACTTTTAACAAAATATTGAATATGTATTTTGTTAATAAAATTTTATTAAACCATACTATAATGTTATTTATTTAAGCTAATAATTCCTTTTGAGGTTACAGTTAATTGGTACAATGTCAAATAAAGTATTACTCACTATTCGAAGGTGCAAATTTGTTACAATGTACGCACTTTTAAGGACATTGAATGTTAATTTTTTCACATTTTATAAAAAATATGTCCTTAAAAATATAATACACTAGCCACAATATCTAGTCTGTTTGATTTGATAATTAATTAATATGTTAATTAATTAATTAATTAATTAATTTTATATGTTTTATTGTTTTTGATACTAGGTACTTGAATGAATTACAATTACTCTACATTCACAATACTTATCTGATGTCATCATATTTTGTGCAAACATTTGGTCAAGATTGTTAGACTGTTAATTTGCAAGCTTTATTGTTTTAATTCAAGCAAGAGTCGTTTCGTTCATTCGACTCGTTCTGTTTACCTACTGACCGAATCCAAGCGTACGGTTTTGAACTGAAATTTGAATAATATTCCGCTCAGAAAACTGATTACAAAATCATTTCGACGAAAGCATTTTGTCAAATCAATAACCGCTGCTACAAAGTACAAAATAAAAAGAAACGCGTCTTTTATTGTGAAATTATTATATTTAGCCGTAATATTAATTCATTTCACGGTATATTATTGTAATGAGCGAAATCTCAACCAAATCAGACCCCAACCAAATCAGAATTTCATTGTGCCATATAGAATTACAACTGCGATTTCACTCATAACGGAATTTTCTTAAACTTTCTGTTAACCGTCGCAAGAATTCAATCACAAATTTTCGACAGTTTGTTCAAGCGGTAACTGAAAAAGAACACGTAAGTTCTGTCAGTGCACATGATCAGTAATGTGAGAAAAAGGAAACGTCAACAAGAAATTTTCAGTTTATTTGTTTTTCAGAGCAGATGCTTCGTGCGAAAATGTAAAAGCAAAACCGTGCGTAATATCAACCGAATTAGAAAGTCTTTCGTAAAAATAACAATTATTTTTAGTCTACTATATTATCAAGCACAAAATAAAACTACGTAAACGGGTCATTGTCATAATCTACAATATTACTGAAATTAATATAATGAAATAAATTATACAGCCGCCAGGAAGTAGGAAAAATATTAATATTCCGCTAATAATTTCCCGTAAATTAATTTCTTATTGGTTAGTAACCGATAACCACAGTTGGTATCATTTATTTGGTATTAAAAAAATAAAAAACGAAATAAAAACTAGGAGAAAACTCTGAATGAGTGAGACATTGCTCCTTTCGTTTTTGCATTTATGCATAATAATGTTGTTCAGTTGCCATAATTCGGTATAAAAACCAGAAAAGATGTTAAATTAAATACGGTAAGTATCTACAAAAGTTAAAATGTCAACGGATATAGTTAAAATGAAATGTCGTTGACTGTTCTGGTATTACGCCTACGTAATCACACAGATTATCCATTTACTCATAGTTAGGGTAGATTTATGTAAAGTAGTTGATCAATAATTATACTGAAATAATTGGGAAAAATTGATACACGTAACAGTTTGAATTTAAAACTAATTTCTGGTGCAAAATAACCTGTTATCACAATTATTCAAAGTAGAGCCTGCAGGTAACAAAGCATAATAAAAAGTTTTTATTATCAATACCATAAATTATTCCAATACTTTTTAAGTGTTATAAATCAGTAATGTTTTTCTTTTAAGAACGTAAAACCGATAAAAATAAGCGATTTACTTTTATGGTCTCACAATCTAAAAATAAAAAATGATCGCCTCCAACACACATAACCGTGGTAGAAACAAATTACGTAACAATTCGCACCATAACACCAATTCCCACATCCCCGAGTGTTATAATGAAAATTACGACAAAAATTTCGTCGCAATCCCCGACACAAATTAAATAATTTCATGTCGGAAGCTATCTTTTACTTGTGACCAGAAACACGAAGAGAGAACGTATTGTTAGTTAAATTAAGTCGGATAATTCGCAAATTGACGGTTTCCACCGTTTGTCAACACTCGGTGACGGAGTGTTTAAGATATTACAAGCAAATAGCCGTATAATCAGCTGGTGGCCCACAAGTGTGCCGACGAACGTGGTAATTCGGAAAGGAAGTGTCCAATTGCGGACCTCGATTGCGTGGGCGGCGCCACTCACGCGTGCTGCCAACCAAGAAGATCATACAGATCGCCTCCGAGATGAGGCACTCTTGTTTTCACTACGTTACGTACTCACTACGACGAGTTTCAATTATCTAAACTAATAGCACTTTGTAACAGATAAAAAACAATAACTGTTGTAATAAGAACAAAACAACACAAAACAAATTGATTTATAACTTATAAGGATACACCAATGGAGGAAAATAGAATTTGTTGTTTCTCATTCAAAATTGTGCGTATTTTTTCTAGAATTTTAAACCTTTAAACCTTCAATAAGTTGCTAATAATAATTTATCATAATGTAATTGTGTTTGTTATTCCGTCAACTTCCTTATTTGTAATTAGAACTAAATCGATCATTACTACTGTTAATAATTCATTTAAAAAGTGACCATGTACAAGTAAAAGTGTACCAAAACACTAAAACTCTGAGCAAACGCCCGGTATGAATTTTTCATAGTAGCTACGAGGAAATGTTTTCCCAAAAAAGCTAATGAATAAATTAATTATCTTCGGAAAAAGTAGGCAATATTATCCAAGAAGAACAATCGATTAATTGTTCAATGAACACACGTCACCTTTCCATAATGTACAAATAACGGAAATTGTTTAATCCACTCACCGGAAGTCACGATGATGAAATATATTTTTCCCGACTTGTTAAATTATTGACTTATTTGAATTTATTTAAATTTTTCATCCGACTTTTCCGTTATCTTGATCTCTTGTAAATGCTTTGCGGATTAATGGAGCAAGTAAATAACACAATACTTCGGAACTATTAAGGAATAATAGCTATCAGAATAGTACCGGTAATGTCAAATCATCCGTGCAATTTCGCAGGAATTTTAAAATCGATCGATTTCAAATTGGGAAATTTTCACGATTTATGTTTGTTTAGACAATAAGGGTGGAGGTTACTGACCTGAAAATCTTGCTAGGAAGCGGTGGAAGCCGGTGGCGAGTGCTTGCGCCAGGCACCGGAGGACGAGAGGCAGGGGGCTCGCCGCCGCCGCCGCCTCGGCGGGATGGCCCCATGCCGGCCACATCACGTGCGCCACTGAAAATAAACAAAACATTAAAAATCCAATATTTAATCATTAGAATTAGAAATAATTGAGAGCTAGTTCTTCGTTAATTCAAAAACTTCAATCGTTTCTTAGTATCACTATCGAACTCACTAGAATTACAACGGCACATTTTAGGTAGACATAATAACCGTAATTAATCGAAAATATGACAGACGAAAGTAAACTAATAACTGCAGCATTAAAGAAAAGAAAGAATTACAATTACAATCTAAAGCAGTCGATTTTTCGATATATTCAAAAGTAAGGCCGCTCTTTTCAAAATAAAATTCGGTTTCCAGCTGAAAAATTCGAGCTCACAATCGGACTTTGTTTAAGTGCAGTAATTAGGTATGTTCGTTTTACGAGGTATAAATCGAAATTCGATACGATGATAAGTACAAGTAGGTACTCTTAAAGGGAAAATTATGTTCTGGTTGTAATAACTAATAAGTAACTAGAAAAGATAGTAATGTGTTGCCTGTAATTCAAAGTATTTTTATTCTTCCCGGCCAATCAATTATTACTCTTCATTTATTATTTAGAAATTGCATCGCAATATCTGAAAAGAGTAGGAATTAAGGAAATTTCAAAAATAAAAAGAATATTTCTACTTCTTCCACGCGAACACGAAAGTTCGTGCACGTTGTGTTCAGATTGTATCCACATTTTTTGATTCTAATAAAAGTCTATCGATAAAAAAATTATGTATGAACAATAATTATGTAATTAATAACCCCATGTTTCGATAATTCAGAAACTAAAGTAGTTGAACATTTTATTGAAAGTTAATTCTTAATAGGTCTATAACAATTCTGGAAAAATTGACTTTATTGCAGGCTAAATTACCACTACGAGTAAAATTTACACAAAGATCAATCACACTCATGTTTGCATTGATTACAACAACAAAATTACTCTGCAATCAAAAGAATCAGTGAATGAAACATAAAGCGCGAAAAATCACACTCTTTCAACAAATACAAATCATTAGATCGTGGTTGTAGTAGGTATTATTCAAATCGTCTAACTTTCCTTTAATTTTCACAGTTGTGAACATTTTTTGTCAACAGAAACCTCAAAAATCCATCCGGACGGAAGTAGTGGTTTTTGCAAAATCAATCTAATTGCATCAGATTACTTCTAAACGCTCTCCTCTAGTTTACGGGTAAGCGGAACAAAAACTATCAATTATTCAACGACAATTCAACATTAATGGTCACCGCTACATAATTAAGTTACTCCATGATAATTAAAATTCATAACGTGTCAACTTCACTGTCGTAAAGTTGAATTAAACCTAGTCCATATACATCGATCAATGAAAATCGATGACTGATTTGATTTCGATTGATGAGATTACATTAAATAAATATGTATTAGAGTGAATAAAGTAGGTACCTTCTTAGTTGACAGCAAGAACAGAACGGTAAAGCCGCCGCTGAAAAGTCCTCCCTAGTTAGTACCGTCAAGGCTGTGGGAACATTTTACACTTCAATGATAAACAAAGCGAAGGTGATTCAATATAATCAAGTCAATCGAAATTAAAAAATATGATCTGATGATATAAGGTTCATACCACAAAAGTTTGAAGAATGCGATTTAAATACTAAATTTGTTGTATAAATATGATGACAATCTTAATAACATGTATTTTATTTGCATGCTCTGCATACGTACTTTTTATTGGTGAAGCAAACATTTACAAGTGCTGAACACCTGTTCTAGGATAAATAGCATATCAGAAGCAATCACAGCAGATTTAGTTTCGTAAATCAACATATTCTTATATTTAACATTTATTTATTTTCATACTTTAATCAAAGTATCACCCCGATGGCAAATATTTGTTCGAAAATAAAAGACATGTACATAAAAATGAATAAAACATGATAGAGGAATTATTGATAAGACAACAACTTCCACATCAAACACTCCCACTACCAGATTAAAATATTAAAAATTTATAAAGGTAATTAAGGGACAGCTGTTTTGACAAAATGTATTTACTTTTTGTTCGCATAAAAAAAATTATTAAAAATGCAAAAGTCGATATATTTTCTAACATGGCATCAAAAGGTAAAACATTAAATCACAAACTAAATTAAATTCAATTTATTAAACTGAAAAAGTCAAAAAACAAGTACATTCTGACTCACCTGAACTTAGGTTATTTCAAACATGTTTTTATCATTCTTTTTAAATCAAATTAATATTGTTCGAACTTGGCAGAATTATAGATAGTAGGTAATATCCTCCATCTATATAATAAAAAAGCGATCGTATCCTGTTTGGATTGTAATAAACAACTATTGATTCAATGGTAACAAGACATAGGTTTCTGCGTGCAGAAAGAAGTTGCTGCAAGGAAGTATTGTAGTGTAGGCCATTCTACTGCATTCTTCAGCAATGTAGAAACGCATAATTTATAAAACAATGCAATTCAGCATATCAATTGAGTGTAAATTCTTGTCAGAAAGCTCATTATCTGAATTTTTTGCACAATATTTTTTTTGCCATTAATGTAATTTTTTTAATATAATGGGTCCACAAAGTGTGCCAAAAAATTCTCTTGTTAATTATGCTCCAAAATAGAACTTTCATAAAACTGACTTGTTAATATAATTAAAATTTCTGAAGGTTTACTCAAATGTTGAATGCTTTTAAAAAGCAAAATCCCGTAATCTGAAATCAGCGAAACAGAACAAATTCATATAGTTTTAGGTATTATATAAAACGATTTTAAAACCTTCTGTATGATAACTAAAATTTGATATAAACCTAAAAAACCTGGCCTTGATAACAACATTAATGTAAATAAATTACCAAATTATTGCACATTTTAGAACATTATTAAAATATTTCTTCCAATCTTTCTACCCATATCACTAATATAAAGAACCTTACGGTTGAAGTACTTTTGTTACGTCTCTAATTATTTCATAACGGTGTATGAATTTCATTAAAAATATATGAAAATAAAGTTTAAACGTAATCAATTAAGCATTCAAGAACAAAAAAATATGTTAAATTAGAATTTGTGAACACGACATATGGAAAATATCTTCATTAATAATATCAACTAGCCATTAAATTAAATTGGAGATTCGTACACTTCAATAGAATTAGAATTTGTTACCTAACACAGCAGCGTTATTGACATTGTGTGAGAAATCAGAACGAGAAATTCCGTTTAAAAACTTTCCTCAAAAAAAGCAATGAGTCGACGATTTTGTACTTTTTCTTGCGTAGTAATGAGGTGTAAAAGAGTATTAGCCACACGCATTACCAAACATTACGCAAGTGTCGAAATATTTAAAGAGACGATATGCTAATTAACTAAGACAAGATAATGAGGGCAGAATACAAAAACGATCGCGAAGAACAAGCAGAGACATGTTATCGCGATGTGTGATATTTGTGATTTCGCTGCGATCTCAAATTCGGTTCAACTTGGCGTTTGTGAAAACAAACCACACATTCAAACCACCTACGAATACCTACATTGAAAAGATCTCAGCAACATGAAGGTGGTCCAATAAAGCTCACATTAAATAAAAATTCCATAGCACTCGGTCTCTTTGCGAAAAACATCACACAGCGGAAAATCCGGCTCGTCCAATTTCCACAAGTTTTCAGGGATCACAAACCATCACGGCCGCAAAAAAAAAGCATAACTAAATAAAAAATTACCACACAAAACACATCACTGCAACGAAAAAATAAAAATCGACGAAATATCGGAGCGGGTTCACAGGTTTCGTGGGGGTCGAATCGGTAAAATTCGCGGTCAGCCAATTAAAAACGGAGCAAATAATTAATATTCGATTTGCGAAAACCCATCGAACAGGCCGGAGTAATTCTGACCGACAACCAAAAGCAATGTGCATGAACTGACGGCCCAGAGAACAGCATGCCATGACCGAGAACCGAACTCTGTCGAAGTAAACCGACGACTAACACTCGGGAAAGAAAGTGCAATTGTCTCGTCACCTGAGAGAGAAGTCCGGACCAGACCGGAGTAATATTTCTACCTGTATGCGCGTATGTTAACCGTATCACACCAACAATGCTGGAAGTGTTATGACAAATATCGATGATAAGTAATCGGGAAAATCGAGTTCAGGAGGTTCCTGCTATTAATCCTACGGCACCGGAAAGATAAGTCCGGGCGGAACCGAAGGATTTACGAGCGATTTCTTCGAATCTCAACTCATAACGATAATTTAAACAAAAGTTGAAAAAATTAGTAAAACTTCGATGAGTAATCTAACTTTCCATTAAGATTTACCCACGTTGATGTATTTAATTTAAAAACTTTTTATTGTAATAAAGATGAACACAATTGCTTTTTACAAAATTAGTTATTTTATTAGTCACAACTTTTCTGAATAAATTTAATTCTTAAATGAGTCCTAAATTACATTAACGAGGTTGAAAATAGCTATGCGTATGTACTTATACTACAAGTGATTACAGACATTTTTTATCCACACACTAACAGAATATTTAGTGTGTCGTCTCGAGTGGACTAACTTTACAATATTCTTTCCAATTCCTACTTAATATATTTTTTTGTAAGTAACTATTTGTAAAATTGGAAGATCAAAATAGGAACTTTCGCGATTTTAATCTTATTAAAAAAATATACTCCTATATTGAAAATGCACAATGAATTTTAAATTTTGAGAGAAGAAATGGATAATTTTCAGAAAAATACAAGCATCCTGAACGACTGGTGTCTAACGAATAAAACAAAACCTAACTTTATTCATTCTCGTAGGAAAAGTGTTGTAATGTTAGACGCGATTATTAAAATTTGTGTTTTTCAGTTATTGATTAAAATTTCACCAATTTGCGCCATGACAAATAAGAATTGCTGTTTACACAATTAGCGCTCATGTGGGAGTTGCATGAAAAAAAAATTAGTAAAATGCATATTTTCAAGCTGTCTGCAAGTTAATTTTAACTTCAGTAATCAAATTCATGCTTCGTTTTCAATTTTTACTCATAAGTGAATTTCAAAGCAAAAATAACTCAAATGTGATTTAGTTATAAAAGTAACTTTACTACTACCTTACAATAATTTTATTAATTTACAAAATTGCAACTAAAGTGCTTATTTGATACTGTTATCTTAAGTTTCACCTGCATTCCTGACATTATAAATTGCAAATAACTTCATTTATACGTTATTATATTGCCTACAATTTAACAAACAGATACGGCTTAGAAACCGGAAACAAATGATAGTAATCACTATTTATCATAGAGATTGGTTTATTTACGACATTTTTTATTCAGAAAATATGACATTGCCGCCAGCTATAAACTGGAAATATTCAAACAAATACAAATGCACAATTAAAGAAAATAAGACAATCTAAATTACATTTTTTGCTTCAAAACACATAAAATATTTGCGTGTTGTTTTATCTTATTTATTTATCTTATTCGATGTTAGTGCATTTATCAGGTAAACAAAATATTTATATTTCGTCTATTTTAATTCTTGATGCTTGGGGCTAAAAGGGTCAGGATCAAAATTGACACGTGAGGAAAATGCAAGTAAAGTGTTTAGAAAAAAATATTTTTAATTATAGCTGAGATAAAGTCCAAGTTTTAGTTATAAACTTTAGTTCAGATGTAGGTACAATATCTTAAAAAAATGATATATGTAGTATTTAAAATAAAAAATTACAATACTTTGCTATAGTAAAGCTTATAAGCTCAGTCATAAGTTCAAAGCCACCAGAATTATTAGTACCATGGGCTTTTCTTTTTTTTTAGATAAACTTACCAAATCAAACACTAAAATAATCTTGTTTTTTTAGTTAAGCAGTTTTTTCCAAACATCCCGGTTAGGTACAATTTTTTTTATCACAAATAATACGTTTTACATAAATGCGGAATCTAAAAATGTGAAAAATCTCTCATTCTTCTTATCAAAAAAAAAGTTTACTTTTCTAATAACCACCATTAAAATATCTCAGTTTGCACTATTTAATGTGACTAGATTGAAAGCCACGTGTATTGTAGGTATAAACTCGTTAGAGCGATCAAAGTGTCTTGTAATCGCTTACCGAATTCTAAATAAAATTAAACCGCCCTCAGCTAGAATTACCAATGCAATTGCTAACACAATAAATATTATGTAGACCAATTACGAAATAAACAACTACAGAGATCAATTAAACCAAAGCAATTATCCGGAAAGTAATTGCCTTACAAGGATTAACGTAAATGTGACTGCTTTCCCACACAAACTGCAAATAATTGAATAGCATATGCCCAGTCCTTTTCTCAACCAATTACGCCCAAAGTTAAATTATTTTACATATAACGGGTGCATTGTTATCAAAACCGTACCAATAATTTCAAATCGATATATTCAAATTACAACGTAGGTATAGTTTCACAATGTATAAAACCGTAAACATTAATTTCCTTTGAAATTTTTATGAATTGAAACCGAAAAAAACTATGGTAAATTGTAATATTATCAATTATTACTAAACCGAAAGGTGTGACTAAAACAAACACTCCGGATTTCCCCTATTGTTTATCTATTTCACGAATCAGCGCTGCAGTAAATTTACTAGCAACTTAATAAAGTGATGTGTCAAGAAAAGCATTTCCAAATGATTCATTAGCGTCTAATATCTGCAATGAATGAGAAATTAGTTCACACGTCACTTTAAAGACTAATTGAACCTGCACTGTTTGCGTAAACAACAAAAGAAGCTTAAATAATAATTAACTAGGTAATAAAACCAGGCAGATTTAAAATCTAACCATTCTAATACCTAAATCAATCATTCACTTTACATGGGAAAATATCTAAGACGCTCTCTTTACTATTCGGTTAAAACTGACCAGCAATAACTTAATATTCACAAAGAAAATTCATTCGTCACACCCCAGCGGTCTGATTTCTGTTCTTAATTATGTAAAGAGTAGAAATTCCTGTTACTTGCTTTATGCAAAAATCATTCTCCGGCTCATTAACAGGATGAAAATACGAGATTTGCCTGAAAAAAATCACGAGCACACATGTTTCACCATTTATTTTTTTGCAATATTGTAACTTTTAAATGAGATGAGATTGGATATCCTGGACTCGTTAAACAACGGTGCTTGAAATTAGTCGGCTACTTTGGCAAATACTCGAAATAGTCTCCTTAACAAAGTCACTTCAAGAAAAATTCATCACATCAAACTGACGCATTTATGACTGGAATTTTTCGCATTATGATTGTTTATTGCTTCACTTAATAAATTTTCATAATGAGTGGTTGCTAACCGCATTATTACCCATTATAGTTATTAAAGAACTGTAATATGGTATAACTCACAGTAAAATTCTACTAACTACAAAAGTACTGTATATTATGCGTGTCTTCTAATCTAAACGTCTAAAGTATAATTTAGAAAGATAAAAGGCCCACAGCACGAGGTAAAGGCCAATTTTTATTTTATTTTTATCAGACTTGTACTAAATAAAGATTTAATAATAAATGTACATAATTAGTTTATCTAATAGATTTATCATAATTTTCATTTTTAATTGTTCATAAATGGTGAAATACACAAATAATAAATAATGGAATAAATGTGTAATAAGTAAATTATATTTACTTAAAACTGCACGTGCAGGACTACGAGTAGAACAATATTTTAATTAAGTAATTAGCAATATCCTTTTGAAACGGCGCCCAATGATGACATCCCATTATCAGCAATAAACGGTGTTAGGCACGTCATCAACATATCACCGTTCCAGTTAGAGCCAGGGCGCCATATCTAATAGTTGTACAATTGCTCTGTGACTCACAACTATGCTAATAGAAAAATATCTACGCGTGGACCACGCTTATCTCAACCAGATTAAACACGATAGCCTCCTATGCTAAGAAATTTTCCCTATAAAACGCCCTCAACAAAGAGTGGAAATTCCTGGGGGCCCACACGGGAGCTAATCGCTTTTCGATTGATCTCGAAAACTGGCAAATGAGCCGCCTCAACCAAAGCTGACAATAAGATTTTACAGAGCTATTCTCACGTGAAAGCAGCAGGGTTTTCAAAGAGATTTATATTTCATTGACATCTTTCTATGTGTGCACATAGTAGAGGATTAGTTTTGTGAATGGGCGGCCCCCCTTTTGTCCTCCTTTATTCCGCATATCCAAAGTTTTTAAAACCAACTGCGCGCCTTTAGTAATCCAATTCGGCCATTACACCCGTCAATACACCGACTAGCTAATTAAACAGAGCACACATTTTTGCGGGACACAAGGTGTGTGCATGTCATGTTTAAATAAGAATTTGGAATTTTTCTCAATAACCAAAAATAAATATCACAACAAAATTGTGGACAGAGTGCTGGTAAATCAGGAAAGATTAGCCGGTGTGAGAAACCGAAAATTGTTCATTGAGCAAGTCCGGTCTTCAAAGGGATTATGCTAACAAAATACCAGCGGGATACGCCAAGTGAATTACAATAAACACTACAAAAATGCAAACAATGCGACTCTCACCTTCCGGTAAACTTTAAAGTATTTACTTTGTCATAGATAGTAATTGACAAGCAGGTACTCTCCAGAGAAAAGTTGATTTTACCTAGCCTTGAATGAAGAAAATTCCTGAATTGCTCTAGTAACAGCCGGAATTCCGAAATGTGACCTTACGAAACACTAAAATAATTTATCACTCTTAAAGGCAGAAATATTTTTGTCTATTGAATTCCACCCGCTAATGCCCGTATTTTATTCAGAAGCACGTTTGCACTGGCCCTCCCATAGTAATACCGCCGCTAAGCGCATTGTGTTTAAGACCCAGGTGAGAATCGTCGAAATTTTAGACCTTACTCTAATGCACTCTAAATAACAGACATCAACCGTATAGTCTTATTTTTTTGCAAAATTATCTACTCTCGCTCAGTGTAGTTTATAATTTACCTGAGCACAACGGCCGCAGTTCCGATTTTACATACGAGAAGATTCTTGGCATAAAGCTACCCATGTGTACAAAACTGCCATCAATCGTAAGATAATTGACCATAGGTCCTCGTTATCTGGATATTATGCCTCTAATTTATGTATGTTGTAAAATTATAAGCGCATTTAAATATGTTACAGATTGAAAACATTCTTCTAAATGATTGTTTCAACTAAATCAGTAATTTAAATCTTCAAATTCTATTTATAAGCATACGCTTGCATGTTAAGCAAACATTAATTTGTGTATCTTTTCTTTTAGAATTATCCTTCGGAAGTCTTCAAATGATATCTCTTAAATCCTACAATTAATATTTCCTCAAGCATACAATAGACACTGTGTCTTACAAAGAAAATAAACAATGCATTGAATAAAATCATTTTAAATATTTATTGCGTTATTTCACATCAATTTATGTTTTTCTCTGCATTTATTAATTCGAACATTAGAAAAAATTATCACAATTTCCTTTAAATGAGATCCAGCAAATGCAAACCAAATGCAATAATTTGGGAAACAATAACCAAACATATTTTAAATCCAGCAAAAGTAACTTCTAAAATTAAGCAAACAACTGATTTATCTTCAGTTTAATGTGACTATAAAAAAACATCAATGTAATAATAGAATGTCTTTTAAATTATTAAAAAACTTCAATGTATACGTTCTTTAAATCAATGTTTTAAAGTATTTATGGTGTAATTCCCAGATGCATTAACACAAACACCTCAGATTTAAAAAAAGAATTAAATGTCAAAATAATCATTTTGCGTCGTAATATAAAAAAAAAGTTGCAATCAGTAGAGTTTGTAATTCCTACTGAACAGGATGTTCCGTTTTTATAGGAATTACAAAAAAAAAGATTATTCGAGACTTTTGAATCATCTTGTACAAGAAAAACAATGTAACTCCGGTATCTATTGTAAAATCAAATGTTACTCTCAAGATTTGTAAACATGAATTGTAACAGCAGCTGAAAGGAATTGCAAACAATCACAATAAAAATGAATAATTAACTATCCAATTTGTGAAAATTAGCATAACAATTCAGAAAGAAACGTTACTAGGCAAAAAGTGAAAGAAAGAAAGTATTAATTTCTTCTACTTAAAAAAAGTAGTATCAAACTATATGCTCTGTACAGTTTATATTTTATATTGATTTTATAAGGTTTTATTGTGGCTATTTAACACCAGAAATTAACATAAAAAAGGCATGCAATAATACAGTTACATAATATTACCATTGATTGCATATAATAAGCAAAAGACATTTTTCGACCTGATTAGCATTAATTATTATTATGTCGTCTACCCTCTATAAAATAAAATCTCTCAATCAACGATTGTAATTACCCTACACGACTTTATTCAGTTATAAAGCTTATGTTGCTATTGCTAGTATGTGTAATAATAACAACAACTGTAGATTGGCTCTTTAAAAGATTATGTTAATTTATGAGTGATTGCCGTTATGCAGTAAATAATGTTAAGTTTCCATGTAAATGTACTGCAAAATCATAAATCCGTAAACATACTCATTCGACGTGTTGTTATTATTAGCGTTTAAATTTGTATCAATAAAGCGCTAGCCAGTTTACACGACCACTCGTTACGTTTGCCATTCTAAAAACTATTATTTCAATAATTACCATTCACGTATACGTTTCATATAACAAGAATAAATACATTTTCCGATATTTAATAAGCATCCAGATAAGAGCAATGCCATAATATTAATTCAAAATACAATTGTACAGTGAAGAAAATCGTGCGTACGTCGTCACATTTAGTTCATGTATGTGTAGTAAATCTACAATTCTGATGTTCAAGTTCAATTTTAATTAAACCCTACCAAGCATGAAAAACTCAGAGACCGTGACGACCGATCGCCGTGGCGTATTGCCAGCATCGGTGATGAAGAAGCTGAGGATCAACCTGTCCAGACAAAGCCGTGCAGTAACCGATCCTTAATTAGTTAATTATGACATAATTCGCAAGATGATACCCATTAAGACATAAATTATAATTTATAGCCTTTGTAATTTTTTGTAACAAGCATCGAAGCACAAAAATTATTTCTACTGTTTTTTTTGACATTTTTTAAATCAAATTACGGTTATTTTTTGCCCTTGTTTAGAGGGATCATGACTGGGCGTTCAACAGAAGAAACTTGAACAACGTCACTGGCGTGGAAAAAACTCGCAATAAAACACCATTTAAATTAATAATGACGGAACACCTATGAAATACTCCGAATAACTTCACGTCAAGTAATGTAACCCTGCACGAAAATTTAATTGGCCCAAAAGTTTTCAAATATATGGATATTTGAAGAAGATAACAAACGATGAATAATTCACCAAATCACCTGACACTACCACCACATGTTTTTTTTTTTTCTGCTGTTCCTTCTTAATTTACATTTATAGCAAAGTTTATATGTTTATACGACACGAAATCTAATTTCAACGATCAATAGTCGACTTTCGATTGGCAGACAACCAAGGGGTTGCAAGACACAAATCCACGACGAATTGCGTGTCCTGAATTAAACCCACAAGGAAAAATCTATCTTGGCAAACCTGCTATACGAGGGCAGTCATGTGTTGTATCGAATAAATCACAAACTCTTCCATATTCATGATCCGGGGAAAGTTTAAGGAATTAAAGCCAGAGGCGTAGGTGCATGGTGGCGAAGGAGACATTCTTTACTCTATTTACACAAAACTCCAAATCGAAACTAAAATCGAGTGCACGTTGTGTTGCATAAGGACGACAACTGTAACGGCACGTGCATATTGTGGTAATAAATATTATAAACTATCTAATATTTGCATGGTGGAAGGTATATCATAGAAGGGTAATTATCCAACGGAGCAAGATTATAATCAGTCCAATTAAAGGCTGTAAATTGTGGTACACGAGCAAAAACACGGCTAATTACTGAAGCACTAATGGAATTGTGTATTTTGTGAATTATAAAAGGTTAAGATGAACTGTTTAAGCGGCTAAATTAACTAAAGATTAGAAACTGTAACGTCGTAGCTTTATTAAAGCATAAAGGTTAATGAGTCAAGTTCAGTGTAGTCATTTAATTTGCTAAAAATATACCTCCATCCTTTCAGATTTATAGCTCGTGCTAATGCCGGTTTCCTTTCTGAATCTCAATTATTTCCGCCTTACACTTTTTTTACAAAACTGTAATTTACACGGATTCAGATTGGCATTACACTTCGCGCTTCATTGTCTCCAAAAGTAAAACATATTAAGAAAACAAATAGATTACGATTGTTCCATTTTCTCAAATGTCAGACCTTTGTTTATCTATCTCCTCAACTGTGAGAAAAAACTATCACTAAGTTTGTTTTCCTTGATTGTCTCTAAATGGAAAACCACTTACAAATTGTCTGTTACTTAGTCAGCATGTGTAATAGAAAAATAAAGTAATATTAGAAACAAATTATACGATCTAAAAAAACTCGGATCGTCTGCTATGGAAGTAAGTGTGAAATACAATAGCTAATATCCAAAGACACGAAAAATTGATCCGAATCGAGATCGAGGAATGTAAATCCGGAATTAAGTTTATAAATAATAAATTAAGATCCAGCATAGTTCGAGGGTACCAAGGCAAATATAAAAAACATTTTTCTATTAAAAAATAAAACAGTAAAAAAATATCTAACTGTTTGTTACTATCAACAATAAGTCAACAATACGCAAATACATAAAGATTTACCGAGACAGTAGTAATTATTCTCAGATTTTACAGACCACTTCATTATTTAAGTACATAATGTTATACTAAAGCATATTTAATGCGGGTGGTCTTTTGAACCATATACCACGTGCCATGGATGTTAAATTTCGTGCCGCATCACACGAGAGGATATCATTTCTCATTGATGAAGTTGATAAGTAGCATAGCTTCTCAAGTTGCCCGGCTATAACATTATAGTAGGTTCTTCTGTACACCACCAACATAGCAAAAGGCATCTTAGTCATGAAAAGATTTTTATGTACAATGACAACATTTTGAAGGAAATTTATCCGGAAGAAAAACCCCGTGCGATTGTTAGAAGTTCCTCTGTTAAATAGTAAGCCACCGCTGAATAAACAAAGTAACAATTGAACCATTACGGACCACCTGTCGATAAATAGAAGGGCATCTGCTTACGGATGCGGATACACAGTGTAAATCTCAATGTCTGATGATAACAGCAATGAAGACGATAAGAAAAGCAAACTAATACTTTTAGAAAACAAAGAAGTTGAATAATATCAGTGTGAGACGGCGTGAAATGAATCGATATCTTGAACAAATATTGAATACACACTTAAGGTTCCAAGTGGGGTAAATTTCAATTTCAATTTAATATTTCAGAAAGAATGGTTAAGGGTATTGTTAAGGTGTCAGTTCGTCTAGCCTTCAGCGATGTTGACAAGCGCGGTGGTAGGGTGGGAGCAGTCATATGGAACATGTAAGAATATAAAAGTCTAGCAAAATATACTTTACGGTAACATAATGATTCGGGCCGCTGAAAAATTAATACGAGAATAATTTCCAATCAATTAGGTCCTCTTCGTAGTTGGAGAGGGTGCAACTGTTTGCGGAGACCATGTGTCCAATGTAGAGACGAAAGGAAGAACGCGTACTACCTGCAAGGTAACGTTAGAACCGTAGCTGACACGCGCCTACCTGATGATGGTTGGGCATCCAACAAATTTACTTTCTACTTTATTTAATACGCCAGACAGAAATAAACCATGACAGTAATTAGGACATTATTCGACACAATAACGCACAAAACAAACAAAATATAAAAATACGAACATAAAGGAATGTTCTTCTCGTAATGAAAGAATAACTATTTAATCACACTTTCGACCCTAAAGTTAATAGCTATTATGAATTTTGACTTAAGAAAAAATGTAGGCTTGCATTCAGCCCCCACATTAAGAAAAATGTGGTTCCCAAAGATTACTATTCATTATTTATTTAATTTTTATTTAAATATAGTAAAAGAGAGTTTACCCCGTCCGTAGAGCGTTTGGGGTACTTTTCTTAAGTGACTTATTTGTAATAACACGTGTGTTATTTTTTTGCATTTAAAATGCAATTTTATTTTTTTAATTTGGTATTTTGGTTATCATCATAAATTGTCATGTTCAAGTTATCAGTTCATTATTAAAAATTAATACAAAGTAATGGAACTTTGGTACCTTTCGCAAAGTGGAATGCTGCGAAACACTTTCGAGATACAATTTTATAATTGAACCTTTTTTATCAATATCAGAGTTGAAAAAATACCATACCTTACTTATTTAAAATCGCCATAGTTATTGTCCAAGAGGTGTTGGTTAAAACACATTACTATTGATTTTTTAGTCTTCAAGCATAAAAATACAATAAATCTTAATTAAAGACATCACACGACTTCCATAAAGTTTACATGCTATAGGACACTAAAAAATAGGGTAAATTCGTGGTATGAAATCTAAGAATGAATTTATGAGATGGCATGATAAACGACAAAAGCGTCGATAGTAACAGTAAACTATAAAGAGTATAATAACACCAATTTATATACAAGCAATATACGAGTAATAATAAACAGACTCATAGTTCTATAATTTAACAAAAAGTGACTTTTTAAAATGTAATAATGTTGAGAAGTAAGATAATAACCACATGCAATTATTTCTTGATCTCATGTTTTTATTTTATGAGAAAAAAAACGATGTCTTCTCTACTAAAATTTTATAGTTTATTTTGAGATTGAGTGTAAATTGGACACTTTATTTCACGAGTGGAATATTTAATCACGAGTGTTAACGAGTGGTTTATCATCCACGATGGAATAAATGAACCGATTTACACGAAGTCGAGTTGAATACAACATTTTATGCTTCAAATTAGACTTAAAAGAGCTCACAATTGCTTTAAATCTGTTAAAAATAATTTGACATTTCATATTGAGAAATGTCAAACAGTTGTCAAAACTTCCTTACACGGGAGAAAAAAGGAGAAAAACCGTAAATATTCAGTGTCATAAAATAAAAGATTTTTTTGCAACACTAATACCTTAGCTATACTGTTTATATGGTGCATTTAAGCTTACCTTTTTATGTTGTTAAAATACGCTTTATCTATAAAGTATGTCGTCAATAGCAACGTATCTTATGAGTCTATAAAATACCCTGAAGCATACTTTTTGTCAATTTTGACTTTATTTTGACATACTTCTTTATAATAATTTCTGAATTTAGTAAATTTGTGTTGCAAACAATCTTGAAGACAACACTAGTTTTATAGTTTAAAAATCTCAGCCTAAACTACGACCTCGATTTTTTAACTGTCTATAAAACTAGTTGTCTTAATAGCTATTGAAATTTGTAATAAGATCAAGTTTCTTTAATTTTTAACGGATATTCGAATTTTAGCGTTGCTTTAAAAACACAGAATTGTCCGTAGAGTTTACAAAAGCCTTAAAATAAAAAAACTATATTTAATAAAATCTTCGAATAAATAAATAAAATAAAAATAAATGAAAAAAAATATATGTATGTATTATACAGGGTGTTTCACACAACTTTACGAGGTTTGCGCCTAAAGTACGCACCCAAATATACAAAAGTCACAAAACACTGGACACAAAAAATACACATCTAATTATTTAATTTTTGGAAACCCATGACAGTAGTTGTCAAACTAATCACTGTCTCATTAATAGTCATAAACTGCAGTTTTTCAGAAACAATTATCATGTGTTCTATCAAGAGACGGCATGAATATGATTCTAGTTTATCTATCTTAATTACCAACTAACTAAAAACGTTGTAATTTTTGAAAGGGTGAACAAACTAGAGAACATTATTTAATTTTTCAAAATTTGTAATCGAGTTCGGAATATGTATTATTGATTGCATCTTACAGGCGCAGGCCTCGTAAAATTACGTATTCACATAAAGCAAACTTTCTAGTATAAATCCAAGCTTAAAAGATTTCTTTTGTACAATGTGTATTTTTTTAATTCCAATTTTATAGAAATAAATTAAGAAATTCATAATTTTATGTTTCAATTTCCACATTTGGCAACGACTTAGTTTTTTATAACGATATACGCTGCTTCTTCTTGCATCTATCTAATCGTATTTTTGTTTGGGTAAGCATAAAAAATGTTCTGTATCACACCTTTTCCGGATCCAAGCATTTACAACCATTATAAAAAACATTCGGTAAAAAACACCCTTTAACACTATGATTGTTTTCACTTTATATTAAAAAAAAAAAACATTAAAAATGTCTAAAAATTCATTAAAACACCTGGTATCGTCTACCTACTAGTTGTTAACCAAGAAATAACACACACAATTGTAGTTTTCTGTCTTAAATTTTATAGTAAAATGCATAAAAATTTTCTTAGACCGTAAACTAAACTAATATGGAAGACCCCAACAAATGATAAAATATTGTATCAAATTAAAAAATATGCAAAATGTAAACTTTTTTACAGTTTTCCTTTTGTTACCTGAAAACTATTCTATCCGTACTAGTGCTAGAACGCGACCCTAAATAGTCCCACACATTTGGGGGTGGTTTTATATTTGAGCAGGTGTATTTGCAAGCAGTGATCCGCGTGGCCGCCCGCCAGCTGTCACCGTGACTACGTCCGCCACCGCATCAACTTCATCATCCTCTGGATTGATTACTTAGAGACAAACCGACCCAACCGCAAAACTAATAGTGTTTTTTTTCGTTACTTATTTAAAAAAAAATAATTTCAGATCAAAGCGACAATGAAGATCAAGATAGAGCGACGCGTGGTGGCCGCGTGCAGCACGGGGCGAAATGCAGACAGCTGGTCCATTTCTTCAACCCTCCTGAGAGGGTCGGGAGTCGGCAGGTCATAGGGCATCGAGCCGTCGTGACTTACGTCGGACGTCTGAGTCTGCACCTGGCTCCAGTCTGTTACTAATAATGTGCTACCAACTAATAGCTAAAATATGTATTTCGATTTCTATATAAATGCAACCGGAAAATAACTTTCGGAATGATGATGATCGGTGTCCCGACGTGTACCATGTCAAACATAAAGGACGAGACGATTATCTTAAGAAGCTAATATGAGGAGTGTGCGAATTTGATCTTCCACGCTTTTCCTATTAGCTAAGTGTGTTAAAATCTGGGCGGAACGAAGAGGTTGGCCAATAGCAAACCAATTAGCAAAATTTTGCAAACGTCGCATTTTCAGAAATCTATTTTTCGGTGATCTAGTTCTCACAAAAAATAAAATTAAGTAAAAAAATTTCAAGACAAGATGCTTTACACTTTTTTCATTTTAAAATACTCGTAATACACAAATATAGTCGTTTTGTGTTTTATAATTTTCCAGAGAGTTAATGAGTTAATGACATTACTTTGAAAGGTGATATTTTATAAATTATTCTTATTCGAACTATTATTTAATTAAAATTAAAGTGACAAGAACTTTTGATTCAACATAATATTGAAAAACCGTCAAACACATACATATTTCACACACATCTCTGCTAAATTACGAGTACATGATTGTTAAATAGCAGCACCTAGACACGTCTTCAACTTTGCACAAAATATGTAGGAAAAACTAATTATCTATGTTCCCAGCTAATTAAACGTATCATTACTCATATTTATAATTGTTTAATGAATTAACCATTCATGCAAATAAAAAAGAATACATTTTACTTTCAATAATTTCAAAACCTACAACTGCGAAATTTTTCAAGAAGGCTTGTGATAAAAAAATCTACGCATAGAAATTGAGGCAGTTGTGCATTAGTGTTTTTTTTCTTCAAAAATAATCGTAACGTAAACTAATTATTATTTTCCAAATTTCATTGTTGTAAATAAATTATTATTATTACTAATAGAAAGTTTCTTAAACAGAAAAAATGTTTTTGTTCAAATACCACCTCAAAAACCAACAAAAAAATTTCATTTCTCATAGCTGACATTTTATAAACGTAGTGTAATCTATTTTGTATCAGCTTAATTTGCATTTTTTTATTTAAACGTTTAATAGAAAACGGTTTTAAATATTTTGTTTTAAGTTCGGTAGAAATAAAAATAACATTTTTTTCTGCCTTCCTTCCCTTTCATGTTTTGAATGAGTTGACGCACGCACTTTAAAATTGATAGGTATAAACGTTTGCTTTGAATTTAATGATATTGTGTTTTTTCACGTCAAAATGTAATAATTTAAAGATATCTTATAAATAACAATGTGTCAACAATAAATGTAATTTTTTCCACTAATTTCTTAAAAATAAAGTTCTATCGTTTTTATTCAAATACTCTTTAAATCTGTAATTATAAGAAATACACATTTCACGTTAATAATGTAAATAAGTGGCAAAATTTATACAATATGTGATGACAGCTTCCGAATTTGGCAAACCAAAATTTGCACCAAATGTCCCCAAAATAAAATTTACTTTTTATTGCATATTATTACAATTTTACATGTATACCCACTTAGTGAATTGAATAAACAACACAATAACAAATATTAGTGTAAATAACCCTATTGTGTCTCATAAACTAATAACTTGGAACAGGTGGTTAAACCTTTATTACAGATCGAACAACAGTTACACTTAACATGAAACTTGCAACATGCAAAAGCGCATTTATTTAATGGTTATGCAACAAAAGTCAACACACCATATAGGTGTAAGTTTGCAAAAACCGAGCAGCAACAAAGTTCTATTTGCATATTACACCGGGTCAGTATCGTCACACGATTAATCAAAGCGAGCTCTTAATTAAATTTTTTTAAACGAAGAATAATCAGACGTTTTTAATTAGCCAGCATGCAATTACTACTATTACACTTTCTTATACTACCACAGAAAAATATTAAATATGAAACTATTGACAAAAAATTAAACACTTCTGTGTGTGAATCCAATGCATATCTATCAAATTACAATAATTCCTGTAAACTATTTTAAGTTAAGACAAAGTGGCGTATCTATAATTAAATTGTGATTCTAATTGTAAATTTGTTTTTGATCACGATTAGCATGTGGAGGTTCTATTTCTAGTTTTTCGTGACTCCAAAGTCTTAATTTTAACGCGTGAATAACCACTAAATCACGAGGAAACACTTTATCTATTTAGTGCAGGGCTTTAGTCAAGTGTATTTATAGCAATTACCTGATAGTTACAACTCGAGAAGTACCAAAATATTCACGAACTATTTTTGTAGATAATAACAATTAGAATGTCCTGACATGGTTTTCTATTATTCAATTCAATTGTTGTATTTACTTGACCTTGAATTCACTGCCTCTATGCATACAAAATACATACATTAAATTAGTATATCACTTTACTAATTACACACGAGGTGTTTAAACTCTTGACAAAAGTAGGTACATTTACAAAATTAGGAATTATATGACACGCACGTTTTGCATTTTTATTCGTACATATTTTTTTAATTAACCCATTGCCCTCTCGACACTCTTGTACCTCATGCGTGTGGCTAACCTTCGATCGTTTAGAAAAATCTACACCATGTCCGTTTTAATTATCGTCAATAATTGAAAGTAATTCTCATAATTATTCATTGAGTGCCTCTCAAATATTGGTTACCTTGCCTGTCTCACTTTCATTAAAAGCCAGAAGGGGAGATTTATATCCGTCTGGATTTTTGCACGCCGGAATATAGAGAGACCGACTCGCATAGAACAGAATCGATATTAAACGAACAAAACTAGTTCGTTCCTTCTTGCATAATTTATGTCATGAATAAACAATGTCACGCACCACGACAATTTATAAAGAAATTATATTACCGAAGAAAGGACCAGCTATTTATTGGACGAACACGCTAATATTCGTCCAAAATTCATCCATCACAAATGGCAAACTTAAACGGGGGCAAGTACGATTTCCATGGAATATCAAATCAGGCGAATTAATACCATTCGAATTCAGAACAAAAAAATAACAAAAGAAAAAGCTTGGGAAATACATATTCATTCCATAACAACTCTTACAAAAGAAATTTAAGAACTTACCCACAAATACAGTATTAATTTTAAAAATCATCAGTTTTTGTTTAAAAAAAAATCGTCCTTAAAACATGCTGTTCACAACAAAATCCTTAAAAAACTGGCAACTACAAACTTTACATAACTTACTTGGCTGCACTAAATTTATTGTTCGAATATTTATAAATAGAACAAAACTTTTTTTTAAACACAACAAATAGATAATGTGAAGGTAGGATTTTACCAAAAGTATCCAAATACTAAGAATTTTTGAAATTTTTTAAATCTAAATTTTTATTTTCCAGTAAGAGAAAAATTGTCATACCAATATCTTCTTACATTTTGCATCAATTACGCAAAATATGTGTTTCTGTAGATAAATCTCTAATTACAGGTGAGTTACCACATTTACATTTTATAAATTAGGTACACTGGAATAAGAACAGAAAGTCGAGTAATTATACTACAACTCGAGTCTATAATTTCACAAATACATATAAATAGGTAGTAATTAAAATAAGGAAGTCTAAATACTTTACATTCTGGACACTCTTCGAGCACTCTGAATGCAAAAATCCTTTTACCGCATAATTTTTCGTGTCTAAAAAAGCGGTCGGAAAAACAACAAACGAAATAATCGACCGCATTAAAATTTTCAGAGAATAATAATTCGTCCGCCGATGATGAATCCGCTTTAAACAGCGCGAATTCGCGGAACATAACAATCAAATTACACATTCATCGCTAAATCCTCAATTAAACAATTTGCTTGTTGGCTGATGCTCACCGAATACGTGCGAAAACAATTGGGGTTGTTTGATTTTATTTCGCGCCGGATGAGCCGGATTAAGCATGCTTGATCCGGATCCGGTCCTGGCCAACCGGACACGGCGACTCGTGCCTAATTTGCCCGTCAATGTCGTTATTTCCGGGGCAGCGCCCTCGGGACAAGGTAACCCATTGACTGACTTACAGGCGACATCTCGCTGTTCATATCTAATGCCAATTTGCATAGAAAGATGACTGCGCCGAATAATAACATTTTCCAATCATGCACGCAAACAATTTGGCCGCAAGGACACTGCGCCATAAATACGAAAATAAATCATGATCATGAATAAACATCGAATCATCTTCCACACGGCTGCCCTAAAACTACGAAGGTGGCACAATGAATTTTGCGGAAGTGCTGCTGGTTTCGAACAGGGTTCATAAATCATCCAACTCCCTAGTGTATAAGAAATGGATTCGCACGTGTTTATTGATTTTCAAACTCATAAACGACCCGCCCGTAATAAAGAAAAAGAAGCGAGTCATCGTTTACCACATCAAAAGAAGTGATGAACATGTGGTCAGATTTAACACTTAGAGAAGAGGAAACACCGGTTCCTGAAGACAGAAATAATTCCAATCTGCGTATTTAAGGGGTGACCCAGGCGGGAATGTTGCGGAAGTTTGGCGACACGATGCATCAGGTCATCAGGTCAGGATGTAGAGCAAGATTAGGCTATAGGCTAATTTTAGACAAGGATCTAAAACAAAGATGACACCGGTTGACAAAAAAAGTCCCTCACAAAATAGACTGTGGGATTTTTAAAATAAGAAAAAAACTGTCAATCAACGCTTGTAGAAAACTGAGCACTGACAAAGATATAAAATATGCAAAAAATCAAATCAGTAGATATAAAAATTATTTTAAAATAAAAAACTCTACAAACATTAAATCTATTAAAAAAATGTTTTAATGTAGGTATGTAATTATTTATGTAGGTGTTTTATTAATTATTACGTAAAAAATAGATAACATAATCCATTCTTAAACAAGCCCTAAAACACAAACAACGTATAGCGAGTAAGCTTAATCACTAAGAAGTACCTCATATGTTGTAAAAAAATAGAGTATAATAACTATTGAAAAAACAAAATAATAACA